ATATTGGTGACTTCTAAATATTTTTCTGGGCCACACCTTTTCCCTGAGCCCTTACCTCATATATCCACTTCCTAATCAGTACCTTCACTTGGATATTTAATACATATCTCATAATTAGCATGTTGCAAACTGAGTTCTCTCTTATCCCCCACCGGACCTACTTCTTTCTTAGCCTTCCCCATCTCAGTTCATAACAATCCCATTTTCCCAGTTGCTCAGTTAGAACTCTTGATTCCTTCATTCTCTTACATCCATCTCCACTTCCCAAGTATGAGGTCAGCTGTATACAAAAACACCATGGAAGTGTGTTCAAGATTCTGCTATTTTTTATGACCTCTGTTAACACTGTTTTCCTAGCCCACTCTTAATTCTCACCTGGAAGATTGCAGTAGTCTTCTAATTGACTGTATCTTCCCTGTTCTCTAGCAGTTTACTTTCTAGAGAGGAAATATCTTTTTATTTTTTTAGAAATGGGGGTCTTGCTATGTTGCCCAAGCTGGCCTCTAACTCCTGCGCTCAAGTGATTCTCCAACATTGGCCTCCCAAAGTGCTGGAATTATAGGGATGAGCCACCACATCTGGCCTAATGATCTTATTAAAACATAAATAATATCAGGGCCGGGTACAGTGGTTCACGCCTGTAATATCAGCACTTTGGGAGGCCGAGATGGGCAGATCACTTGAGGTCGGGAATTCAAGACCATCCTGGCCAGCATGGTGAAACCCTGTCTTTATTAAAAAATAAGAAAATTAGCTGGGCATGGTGGTGCATGCCTGTAATCCCAGTTACTCAGGAGGCTGAGACAGGAGAATTGCTTGAACCCAGGAGGTGGAGGTTGCGATGAGCCGAGGTCGCGCCATGGCACTTCAGCCTGGGCGACAGAGCGAGACTCCATCTCAAAAAATAAAATAAAATAAATAAAATCGGGCATCTCAGCACGGTTGTAGTGTTCGCTGCTGCTCTTCGAGCTTCGCAATGCCGCCCAAGGACGACAAGAAGAAGAAAGACGCCGGAAAGTCAGCCAAGAAAGACAAAGACCCAGTGAACAAATCCGGGGGCAAGGCCAAAAAGAAGAAGTGGTCCAAAGGCAAAGTTCGGGACAAGCTCAGTAACTTAGTCTTGTTTGACAAAGCTACCTATGACAAACTCTGTAAGGAAGTTCCCAACTATAAACTCATAACTCCAGCTGTGGTCTCTGAGAGACTGAAGATTCGAGGCTCCCTTGCCAGCGCAGCCCTTCAGGAGCTCCTTAGCAAAGGACTTATCAAGCTGGTTTCAAAGCACAGAGCTCAAGTAATTTACACCAGAAATACCAAGGGTGGAGATGCTCCAGCTGCTGGTGAAGACACATGAATAGGTCCAACCAACTGTACATTTGGAAAAATAAAACTGTATTAAATAAGTAAATAAATAAATAAAATCATATGTCACCTCTTTTTTAAAGCCCTCCAGTAGCTTCTCATAACAGAGTAAATGCTGAAATACTTACAATGGCCTACAAGAGAGTTGAAAGGGATAATGTCTGAAATGAAGAATTCTAGGGATGAACTTAACAGTAGATCAGAAATTGCAGAAGAAAAGTTCACTGAACTTAAAAACATGGCAATACAAATTACCCAGAATGGAGCACAGAGGAAAATGACTGGAAATGAACTGAGCCTCTGGAGCCTGTGGGATAATGACAAGTGGTCTAACAGAGGAGAGGGAGAAAAAATACTTAAGAAACATTTTTTCCCAACTTTTCAAAGAAATTTTCACAAATTTGTTAAAAACTATAAATCTACAAATGCTATCAATGCAACAAACTGTATGCCAGGATAAACAAAGAGAAAACTGTACTAGGGCACATCAGAATCAAATTGCTGAAAATCAGTGATGAAGAAAACATTTAAAAAGCAGCTAGAGAAGAAAAGAAGTGGCGGGGGGGCATGTTACATCCCTGAGCCCAGGAGTTCGAGACCAGCCTGGGCAACAAAGTGAGACCCCTTCTCTACAAAAGATTTGAAAATTAGCTGGGTGTGGTGGTACACACCTGTGGTCCCTGCTACTCTGGAGACTGAGGCTAGAGGATCACTTGAGCCCAGGAGGTCGAGGCTGCAGTGATCCATGATTGCACCACGGCACTCCAGCCTGGGTGACACAGCAAGACCCTGCCTAAAAAAAAGACATGTTACTTACAAGGAAACAAAGATTAGAACAGCTGTTGACTTCTCATTAACCCTTTTCTTGTTCAGAAAAAAAGTCCAACTCACTGCCATTGCTCCTTTAATTTTACGTCAACACGCTGTTGGAGGCTGAAGCAAAGTGACTGATTTTCAATATGAAAATAAAATATAAGAACTGTTCTTGGAGTTATTTCTAAACAGAACTAACATCAGAATCATCTGAATCATCAGAATCATCTATTTTGGAAAAATTGGATTCATTAAATGAATCTTCAGCCAACTGTTCAAGAACGATGTTATTAATAATTAACATCAGCTGGGCGCGGTGGCTCATGCCTGTAACCCCAGCACTTTGGGAGGCTGAGGTGGGAGGATCACGAGGTCAAAAGATCAAGACCATCCTTGGCCAACACAGTGAAACTCCGTCTCTACTAAAAATATAAAAAATTAGCTGGGCATGGTGGCACACACCTGTAGTCCCAGCTACTTGGGAGGATGAGGCAGGAGGATTGCTTGAACCTGGGGGAGGTGGAGGTTGCAGTGAGCTGAGATCGCACCACTGCACTCCAGCCTGGCAATGGAGTGAGACTCTGTCTCAAAAATAATAATAATAATAATAATAATAATAAAATCATGCACAGGAATGCTATGCTTTCTAAGCTTTGGCATTTTCAGCAATCAAGAGTTACTGTATTGTATAAATGGAAATACCACTGCTAAAAATAGAATGCTGTAAATAGAACGATGTCTTTTGTTTCCAAAGTCAACGTACTAGCGTGTTAAGAGAATAATAATAAAAACGAGATGTTTCATGGCAAAGTTACCTCGGGGTAAATGCTGTATCCTCAAGCACTGCCAGCAAGTATTCTCAGGGCAAACGGGAAAAGGGTTGAAAGACACACAAGTCAGAAGAAAATGAAATGGTACCTTGAAAGCACTGAGAGGACTTATTTTTTTTTCCTAAAATATACAGATTTTCTAGCTTTGTCCACTGAGAAGGCCTAGAATTAGTGAGCCTGGAAAAGTGAGCATGCTGGCATTCTGACTGTGGTCTCTAAATACTCTTTGCCAGTAAATGGAATCAGAGATCCTTAGAAGGATGGTTCATTCCAAGTCTGGGACAGGAAATATACCAAACAAAACTAGGCAGCCAGGCACAGTGGCTCACACCCGTAATCTCAGCACTTTGGGAGACTGAGGTGGGCAGATCACCTGAGGTCAGGAGTCCGAGACCAGCCTGGCCAACATGGTGAAACCCCATCTCTACTAAAAATGCAGAAATTAGCTGGTGTTATGTACCTGTAATCCCAGCTACAGGAGGCTGAGATAGAAGAATCGCTTTTCATGGTAGCTTTGCCATGAAACCCAGGAGTGGAAGGTTGCAGTGAGCTGAGATCATGCCATTGCACTCCAGCCTGGGAGACAGAACAAGACTCCATCTCAAAGCAAAACAGAACAAAACAAACAAAAGCAGAAATGTATCAGTCAAATACAAACATAAAAGAAACCTACCAGCCAAATACAAAGTGGGGACTTTGGATCTTGACTTTAACCGTAAAAGGACATTTTTTAAGATATGAAGAAATTGGCATATGGACTAAGGTACTAAAATATTTTTGTCTATGTTTTTAGGTGTGATAATGGTGTTAGGTTGTATGAAATGTTTTTACTGTCCGATAGATATACAGACTGAAGTATCCCCAGGTGAAGTAATTGCCTGGGGTTTGCTTTTAGCCACGCATCCCTGCACAAACAGTTGGAGGAATGAAAATTAGATTAAATAACACTGACAAAATGTTGATATTCATTCAAGTTTTGCAATGGATACCTGAGAGGTAGTCATTAGATTATTTTATGCAAGTTTTAATATTTCTGCAGTAAAAAGTTAAAAGACCATGTGCTTAAGGACCTTTCGTGTATCTATAAGAGAGAGCCTCACTCAGAATATATAGTGTTGCTTTGCAATTTAGGTGCAGTTCTAATGAGTTTGGGAAGGTGCCAGTTTTGTTTTTTGTTTTTTTGAGATGGAGTTCCGCTCTGTCACCAGGCTGGAGTGCAATGGCGTGATCTTGGCTCATTGCAACCTCTGCCTCCCAGTTTCGAGTGATTCTCCTGCCTCAGCCTCCGGAGAAGCTGGGATTACAGGCATGCACCACCACACCCAGCTAATTTTTGTATTTTTAGTAGAGATGGGGTTTCACCATGTTGGCCAGAATTGTCTCAATCTCTTGACCTCATGATCCACCCACCCTGACCTCCCAAAGTGTTGGGATTACAGGTGTGAGCCACCGCACCTGGCTGAGTACCAGTTTTATGGGAGAAGTAGACTGATGCTAAAGTCAGCATCCTTAGAAAAATAAAAATGTTTTACTGGTAACATGAAGTAACACTGAAAATTCTTAAGTGTACACAAAAGCCTATAAAAGCATAGCACTAGGGGGTCACGTAGTAATATTTAGTAGATTCGCTGGGCTTCAGTTGTCTTGCCAGCGGGCATCCTCTAAAAAGTGCATCCATCACAGAGAGCAGCACCTGGACAAAAGTTGTACACGCAGCTCCTCTGCTGACTCAACAAGTCCTTCACAAGGGCTGTCGTGTCAGTGGGCCAGAGCCACTTCTGAAGGACTGCTTTTGTTCAGAGGATTTGAGAGACGGATTCCTGAGGATCTAACACCATATTCCATTTTGCATTGTGATTTTTTTTATTGTTTTCCTTATTATGATTTATTACTTTTAAATTTTTTCTTTGAAGTTTGCTCATTTTAATCCATGTTCACTTCTCCCTCTGTATGTGTTTGTGTTACGCTTGCTGTCTTTGCCTCCGTTGTTCCTAGGTTACAGTATAGCCAGGATATACCCAGTCACTTGGCCGATGAGCATGCGCTGATAGCCTCCTATGTGGCCCGTCTGCAGCACTGTGCACGGTTAGTGGTGGTGCAGCAGCAGCAGTGGACAGCCAGGGGTGATCAGAGGGAGGGAGAGCTTTGCTACCTGGGGTTGTCAGCTGGAAAAAAGGCTGTGCATGGAGGGTTTTTCTTAGCAGCAACCAGCTATGCTTGGCAGAATTAAAATAATTGTTAAGCATTAGCTTCTGCAAGAGAGGGAGCCTTGCCAAGGCTGGGCACTTACCTAAACACGGAGTCAGACCTTCTCCTTTAAATTGGGGGTTCACTTCCTTCAGCTTACACTTGAAAGAATATATAAATCTATGAGAGATCGACATTTCCAAAGATGCAGTATTCACAGAGGTATCTGAGGCAGCCTCTTCCTGTTCATTCTTACCTAACTAATCTTTCCATTGACATTCAAAGTTTAGAGTTGGTCAACCCACAGATATCCCACTTTGTCTTATCTGGGGGCTTTGATACTGTCACCCTATTACATCTTTGCCATTCTTTATCTGTTAGCAGGAATCTATCATTGTTGATTATTTAAACCTGTGATTCCCAACAATGGTATGGGATCACTGTCACCTGAGGGTCTTTTTTCCAAATTACGTAGACTCTCTCATATTATAATACTTATATGTGTTATAATAGCTCCACGTTCCCCTAACCCTGAAAACTACCATGGCAGTGACTCTGTTAATAAGAGAATGTGTCTGATTCTTCAGTGGTTTGGGATGGAAAAACGTGATAACTGCTAACTATAGCAAAGTTAATCCTTTTTTAAAAAGATTTAATACAAAACAATAAAGTATTACATTCAGGTAGGTCCAAAGTCTCCTGCCCACTCCATACCCACACCCACCACCATTCTTCAATTAGGATGACAGGTAAAATTTAAATAATCTAAAACCATCCTTCCCCTACATAACAGCAAAGAGGAGTCACGATGCCAAACAACTTGGAAAGCCATGCTTTTAGATTCTTGTTCTTAAAGAGAAAAGCATATTTTATAACCTATATACATAACAGGGGCTGAAGCTTTATATTTTGATCTTAGTTTGGCTTACAGCATGCCATGGCTTCTTGGGAAGGTCATCTGACCTTGCTGCTACTCCCCCTAATAAGTTAATAGGTGGGAAATATACATATGAAAAAGACTTTTAATATTATACTTTATATCATTTCCCATAGTTTTCCTACAATGACTAAATAGCATAATTATTCTGGGGTATGTACATACCTCTAAAGCTTGGAGAAGTAGGGTTTTCTAACCTTCTAAGTATGTTTAATAGGCTTACCCTCTAGGAGGGAAGGAAGGGCCTGATCATTTTGTGCATGGCATCACAGAGTGTCTCCTCCTCCAACAGATGATTTCTCTACACACCGTCCCAGCCTCTTGATCTCTAGGAATCAAGTTGTTTCACCCTAGGCAAGACAAATTATTTATTATCAGTAAAGGCAGTTGTCCAGAGTAAGCAGAAGTTTCCACGGTAAAAATAGCAGCAGAATGTTTGACAGAGACTGTTACCTAGTAATTTAGCCCAGTTAGATTTATGGTAAGTTTAGCTGAGGCCCTCAAGTCTCGCCTTGGCTCCCTGGGCAAAAATTGGTGGCCAGTAGCCCCAGGAGAACATGAGTGGGTGAGTACTGCATGACTTCCTGATTTATAATCTAAGGAACTGAGCTCCATACTTCCTCCAAGAAGTCAGAACCTTCCTGGCTCACTAATTCTGAAAATGAAAGTCAATTCAATCAGAAGAATAAGGATCCTTTCTAACTGCCCTCAAATAATTTCCATTGACCTTAAAACCTCTCATCAACACAAGCCTCTAGTTTCTGGCTAGAAAACATAGCCAGTTAAAGCAGCCCTGTCATCCACACTCATGTATAAGTGACAAATAGGATCAACCTTCCTAAGGAGATGGAATGTGATTAAGAAAAAGGAGCTCTTTTGCACAGAAGAACCTATTGTGCCCATTGCCAGACAACAGAGGTCAGCCACTTTAGGTCCCGCTTCTTAGGCTACCAGTCCCTCCATAATAGTATCCACTTGTATTGTTAAGCATTCATTTTTACTATTTTTCATTTAAAAGATAGTGTTCTTATTTCAGACAGATACATTTAAAGCACAAATATTATAGTTTATCTCTCACCTTGGGCCCTTGACCCTAAAATATTAAAGCCAACTGACAGTAGTCTGTTCTTATTACAAGATCATTTCTGAGAGGATGCTTATATATCCTGGAGATGGACATTTGCATGCCTAAAATTATAAAGTGTTGACAGACATCATAGGCAGAATACTTGAAGCACTTAAAAGAAAATCCTAGAAGAATAAGTTAAGCTTAAAGACTTAGCCAAAGAAATAGAAAGATTTTTTAAAAAAAAACTAGAAACAATATAGTCGATTCTACACATGAAAAGATCAGACAGATCTTTATTGATTTAGCCACACCCTTCCCAGATTCCTCTCAGTAATTATAACAAGCTATAATGAATATTGAACTCATGTCTTTAAATTTTTGTATATTACTTCTCATACTGCTAAATTCTGATAAAGGGTTTTTGGAAACCCAAGAACGTGGGGCCAAAGTACAGGTAAGCCCCAGCAGTCATCTCTGGTCATTTAGTCAACATCATCACTGTCGCCTTACGGCATCTGACAGTCTTAAACAGAGAATTATATAGCCACAATCCCTATTAATCTAGGACTGTCTTGATAAGGATAAATAACATTTGGTATACTAAATTAACGAAGTCATGTATTTCAGAATCAGTCAGAAGTTCCATGTCAGCATCCCATATACAGAGCCAGCCTATTACTCAAGAACCCTTCCTTCATCCAGATACCACACTATCTGATAGCCTGTCTGAATGGGTCCTTAACATTTTTAGTGTTGGTACTCCTGTTAAAGAGTAGTGCATTAAACTAATTAATTCCAAGACGGGGCTATCGATGTAGAATGAGCATAGTAAAGGAAGAGAAAGGGGCATGAAAGGGGAATGTTTGATGCCATGGAATCTTTTCCAACTTTACAATGTGTTTGGCCTGCCCTGGCAAGGCCAAACTTTTGCTTAGCCAGTGTTAAGTATATTTTTTCTCAGCCCTCTCTTTTTCATGATGCTTTAGTTGGTCTTTTTGAATTTGAGATCTAGGTCCAAAAAGTCATCAGTTTTTCAAAACATTTGGTTAGAAATCCATGTCTCAGACTCTGTGGGTGCCCTGTCTTTTCATAGCCCTTGCATTCAAAATGAAGTGGCCCTTTGATGGTAGGGGAGCAGAGGGGATGTGCTGCTAATGAGGAATGACAAATGTGGCATCATCATTTCTCTAAATCCCCTTTTTTCTCATAACACCGTTAGTACCTATGACCCAGGCCTCTAGTTCTTTCGTTACCATTCTTTTATGAGCTTTTCTTCCCTCTGTTCTTTCTAAGAATGGAACAAGAATAAGGGATGTTTGATAGACACCTGTTGCATTTTTATTCCTTGGCAGTGTTCTGGAAAGTCCTAGCCGACTGGATGAGGAACACCGGCTTATAGCTCGCTATGCTGCCCGGCTGGCTGCGGAAGCAGGAAATGTGGTAAGTTAATGGAGGATCCCAGGAGAGTAGCAGAAATTAGCATTACTTTAATATACGAATGGGAAGGAAATAGTAAACATGAAATTTAGGAGAACAGGTACCTCTGGGACAAAAGGAAGGGGGAGTGTCTTTAGGGTAGAGACTGAAAGGGACTTTAATTTCATCAAAAAGTTCTCTATTTAAACAATGAATCAAGAAAAGAAAATCAAAGAGCCAGAATTTTATTCTTTAAGAGATCAATAAAATTAATAAACCCAGCAATACTCATCAAGTAAAAAAGAGAAAACATTAATTACTAATATCAGGAATGAAAAAAGAGATATTGCTGTAGATCCCGCAGACATTAAAAGAATGATAAGGGAATATTATGAACAACTTTTTCCCAGTAAGTTTGACAACCTAGATAAAATAGATAAGTTCCTTGAAATACACAAATTAATAAAACTGACATAGGAACAAATTAAAAAATGAAATATTCCTACGTTGGTTAAAAAAGTTGAGTTCATAATTAACTTTCCACAAAGAAAACCCCAAGCTTGGCCAGGCGCAGTGGTTCACACCTGTAATCTCAGCACTTTGGGAGGCCAAGACAGGCAGATCCCTTGAGGTCAAGAGTTCAGGATCAGCCTGGCCAACATGGTAAAACCCTGTCTGTACTAAAAATACAAAAATTAGCCAGGCGTGGTGGCGCCCACATGTAATCACAGCTACTTGGGTGGCTGAGGCATGAGAATCACTTGAACCCAGGAAGCAAAGGTTGCAGCAAGCCGAAATTGCACCACTGTACTCCAGCCTGGTTGACAAAGCGAGACTCAGTCTCAAACAAACAAACAAACAAAAACCAATCTCAGATGGTTTAACTGTTCAATACTATCATATACTTAAGGAAGAAATAATGTCAATTTGATGCAAACTCTTTCAGAAAATAGAGCAAGAAGGAACACTTTATAAGTCATTGTATGAGGCCACTATAACCTGATACAAAACAATACAAGGGCATTACAGGCAAAGAAAATTGCTGGCCAAATTCTCTCATGAACTAGATGCAAAAGTCCCTAATAAAATATTAGCAAATTGAATCTAGCAATATGTAAAAAGGATGACACTCCATGATCAAGTGAGATTTATCCTAGAAATGCAAATGTATTTAATACATAAAAATCAATGTAATTCATCACATTAACAGTTAAAAGATACAAATTATAAGATCATTCAGTAGATGTAGAAAAAAGCATTTGACAAAATACAGCACTCATTTATAAAACTTTTCCATATGCTAAGAGTAGAAGGAAACTTCCTTACCCTGATAAAGACTACCTACAAAACCTACAGTTAAGATCACACTTACAGCTTAAATTTTGAAACATCTCCCCCTAATACTAGGAACAATTCAGAGGTAACCACTTTTGCTACCCCTATTCTAAATTATACTAGAGGACCTAATTAATGCAACATGACAAGAAGAAAGGGGCATAAATATGAGAAAGGCAAAAGTAAAGCAGTCTTTATTTGCAAATGTCGTTATTGTGCATATGAAGTCCTACGAAATCTTAAAAAACACTAGGAGAACAGATAAGTAAATTTTATAGTATTGCTGTGAGATATAAAGTGTATATCCCAGCACCTTGGAAGCTAAAGTGGGCAGACCACTTGAGCTCAGGAGTTTGAGACCACTCTTTGGCGAAACTCCATCTCTACAAAAAATACAAAAATTAGCTGGGCATGGTGGTGTGCACCTGTAGTCCCAGCTGCTGGGAAGGCTGAGATGGGAAGATCGGTTGAACCCGGGGAGGTCAAGGCTGCAGTGAGCCGACATCATGCCATTGCACTCTAGCCTGGCGACAGAGTAAGACTCCATCTCAAACAAACAAACAACAAAAAAAAACTATTTACTATAGCATTAAAAATACCAAGTACTTATGGATAAATTTAATGAAAGATGTTCAAGACTGAAAACTGTAAAACATTGCTAAGAGAAATTAAAGAAAACCTAAATAAATGAAGACGTGCCATATTTATAGATTAAAAAGTCTAATATTGTTAGGATGGTAGATTTTCCTAAATTAATCTATATATTTAATATCAATTCAAGTCTTAACAGCATTGTTTATAGAAATTAGCAAACTGTTTTTAAAATGTATTTGGAGAACCAAAGGACCTAGAATAACTATAGCAGTCTTGAAAAAGAACATCAAAGTTGGCAGACTTAATCCTACTTGACATCAAGACTTACTATAAAGCTATAGTAATCAAGAAAGTAAGATATTGGCAGAAGGATGAACAAATAAAGAACAGAATAGAGTTTCCATAAAAGACACTCATGTATAAGGTCAAATGACTTTTAACAAAGGTAAGAAGCAAATCAGTCAGAAAAGGAAACTCTTTCTATTTTAACAAATGCTGTTGGAACAACTGGATATCTCTGTAGGGAAAAAAAAGAATCTCAACCCCTGCCTCACACCATACAAAGAAATCATTTTGAAATGTATCATAAACTTAAACATAAAAGCCAAAACTATAAAGCTACTAAAAGAAAGCATAGGAGAATACCTTCATTCTCTCATGAAGAAGAATGAAAATGTATTAGTTTATAGGGATCACAAACGATTTTAAAAATTGATAAATTGGACCCTATCAAATGTAAAATCTTTTGCTCATTAGAAGATACTTTTCAAAAATAGACAAACTGGCTGGATGCGGTGGCTCAGGCCTGTAATCCCAGCACTTTGGGAGGCTGAGACAGGAGAATTGCATGAACCCAGGAGGCGGAGGTTGCAGTGAGCCAAGATTGTGCCACTGCACTCCAGCCTGGCACCTGGCGACAGAGCAAGACTCTGTCTTAAAAAAAAAAAAAAAAAAAGACAAACCACAATCTGAAAGAAAATATTTGCAAAACATGTCTGACAAAGGACAGAACATATAAAGAATTCCTGCACCTCAACAATAAAAAGACAACCATTTTTTTTTAAATGAGCAAAAGACGTGAACAGATATTCCACAAAGAAGATATGCCAATGGCCAATAAGCACATGAAAATGTGCTTGATATCATTAATCATCAGGAAAATGCTGATATATATACTATATACCCACCAGAGTGGCTAAAATGAAAAAGTTGGATTGCATCACATGTTGGAGAGGATGTGGAGCAACCAGAAATCTCACAGTGTTGTTGGCGGGTCTATTAAATGGTACAGCTACTTTGGAAACCTATTTGGCAGTTTCTTAAAGAAGCAAACATTAATACTATGACCCAGCAATTCTACTCTTAGATATTTATCCAAGAGAAATGAAAACATGTCCGCAAAAAGCTTTGTACAAGAATGTTCACAGCAGTTCAATTCATAATAGCTGGAATAGCCCACATATTTATCAGCAGAATAGATAAACAAAATGTGTTACATTCATGCAGTAGAATTGTCTCAACACAAAAAGGAATAACATTGATACACACAACACAAGGGTGAATATTAAAAATATTATGAGTAGTAAAAGAAGCCAGATAGAAAGAAGTTTATACTGTTTTTTTCCATTTGTATGAAATTCTAGAATAGGCAAACTAACATATCCATTACCGTAAGTTAATCATCCTAATCATAATCAGATAAGGGGGGTTGTTTCTAGAAATGAAAATATTGAAGGGAGATGAGGAAACTTTCTGGATTGATAGAAATATTCCACATTTCATTAGGGGTATGGGTTACAGGAGTGTCCATTTGTCAAATGAATTAAATGGAACACTTAAGATCTGAGCAGTATATCTCAATTAAAACCAAAAGGAACCAAGAATGTTGACTATGTAAGAGTTTGATTGAAATAGGAAGTGGCTCCCCAGAGATTTGCAGTGTGTTTCCTGTAATTTTGAAATATTCATAATAAAATGTTTTCTCTTTTTCTTCTCCTTTTTCAGTTCTTTACTTTCTTTGAGGAGTTATGTTCACATTAATAATCATCCCCCCCACCAGCCTCACACACACATTTATTTCTTTTGTTCCTGTACTGTGCCATACTGGATACTGTGGTGGACAAATGATTTCTGCCGTCACTAACAGTGTAGTGACAGAGACAAACATTAAACAAATAATCACACTACTAAACATAACTACAAATCGTTGTGTGCAATGGAAGAAAAATGTAGGGAGCTGTGGAAGTGTAGAGCAGGTGCCTGATCTATTCTGGAGAGTAAGGGATAGTTTCTGTGAGAAGGTGTTACTTGAGTTGGGATTTGAAAATAAGTAGAAGAGAATTCAGTTTCCTGGGAATTGAAAAGTAACTGAAAACCAAAGCAGCCCAAGAGCTACTGTTGCTGCCACTGCTACTGCCACCCCTGCCTTGTGCTTGGATGTCAATTGTCAGAGCTTCTGTGGGCAAAACCTTGGTTATGTGTAAAGTGAAGAGTTGGAAATGAGACTCTCACATTAAGGTAGGCCCCTTGAAGCATTATACCCTTGGTGAATGTGTTGTATAAAAAATAACTAGGCCAGGCATGGTGGCTCATGTCTATAATCACAGCACTTTGGGAGGCCAAGGCAGGTGGATCACCTGATGTCAGGAGTTCGAGACCAGCCTGCCAACATGGTGAAACCCCATCTCTACTAAAAATAGAAAAAAAAAAAAATTAGCCGGGCATGATGGCACATGCCTGTAATCCCAGCTACTTGGGAGTCTGAGGTAGGAGAATCGCTTGAACCTAGGAGGTGGAGGTTGCACAGAGCTGAGATCACACCACTCCACTCCAGCCTGGGCAACAGAGCAAGACTCTGTCTCAAAAAAAAAAAAAAAAAAGTAACTTGCTGCCTGCCAGCACACGGAAAAAGAAAGCTTATAGGTCTCCTTCTGTTGCAGTGGAAGCAGTCGTCTTCCCTGGAAATTCAAAACCTTCGGCCTGTCTATACTTGTGTAGGTGCATTTGCATTACTTCATAGTTTGAGAAACACCAAGGTGAAATGTTAACATTAAAACTAACCCCAAGGCACCTGGTAGAAGCAAAGCATAAATTTC